AATATTTACCTCACCAAGTTTTTCCGTATTTTCCATGTTTATCTCAAAAAATCAATATTTCAATAATTCTCATCACCCACTGATTCGATTAGTGTGACTAAAAGTATTATTTTTCAATTAATTAAATTTTTTTCCTAAAAAAACACATATTCATGGATTTTTCGTCTTTTTTTTCCCTAAACATAACAATACATAAAAGTAAATAAAATTTTGTTTCGATTTCTTATTTTAGTCATTGAAAAAGAAAATGGCAACAAAAAAAAAGCAGCAAGCATGTCATCTCTTAAACTTTTTGAATAAAATACTTATATATTGTAGGTGATCAAGTATTCTTTAAAAATACATGTGTTTTGTGCAGGCCAAATGCACATTCCCTTCAGATTCTATTGGATCACTAATAAGTTCCCGAGTTCGAGCAATTGAGGAGTCACCCCATGAAGAAAAGTGATAGAGAAAGAGATGGCGTTCAGGGCAGCCGTTCTTCGCTATGTTCGAGTTCTGGTTCGATTCCTTGCCCTAGCTCGTCGGAATTCCTTGCCTTAGCAAAATTTTGAGTCCTTACGATTATCAAGTGTCATCCCAGAGTGGATCCGTCTAAAGTGATTCAATCTTATCACTCATTTTCCCTTTCCTTTTTTTCCAGTTGATTGAGTCGTTTTCAAGACTTGCATTGGAAAAAAATAACTAAAAAAGTTAAATATTCGATTAAACAATCTAACTAAATATAAGAAAACACAAGACATTGACTAAAGGAGAAAATTAACATACCGAAAGAGAAAAGAAACTCAAGTTTTGATGAAGAAAAAGTTGGGAGAAAGAGTAAGAAAAAACTCTTTATATGGTTGTAGAAAATAAAAAGTTACGAAACTTTTAAAATTCCTTACTAATTATAATTCAAAATAAATTATAACTTTTTAATTAATTCATAGAAATAAAGAGACAAAACCCTTCATATTCTAACTCTTTATATTCTAACCTTTGAGAGGGAGAGTTTATTAGAAAGAAAAAATTAATTTAAGAAAAGTAAAATTTGTAAGAATGGAGATTAAATATTTCAAAAGAAATGAAAAAAAAACGGAAAGTGGCGTGGGAGAGGGGGAGTGAGAGAGAAAAATTTATATTTGAAGGACAAAATTGCCCCCAAAATATCTGGGAATGTTGAAATTAAATGGGCAAAATAGGGAGAAAAAGTTTCTCCCTATAGCCCCTTTTATATAGACTAGTTAGTATTTTTTTTTTTTGATACAACATGTGGGGATGGGGGTTTGAACTCATGACCTTTTGGTCAAAGATAGRTCAGAAATATATAGACTAGTTAGTATCACGTGCATTGCACGTGGTTATAAACATTTTAATATAATATTTCTAACAATTTAACATATAGAATAACAACTCAACGGAACTTTTAAATGTACTAATATTTTGTTTCAAATAAAATATATTTAATATAATATTTCTACCAATTTAACATATAGAATAACAAAAATGGTACTAATATTTTGTTTCAAATAAAATATATTATTATTTGTTGACATTTTCAATAAAAAAAAGTACAGTCTTCACACTAAAACAATAAAATAAGAGGTATAAAAAATATTGAATATACTATAAAATTGAAATAATTAATGTGGTTATCAATTTTTGATAATCAAGTYTATTGTTAATTGAGACATAATAAATTAAATCAAATTATGTAACTAAAAATTTGAACAGTAGTGAAATACTTTGTTAGATTGTCAAAATTATAATTAAATATTAAATGATTTGAACAAATAAAATTACTTATTTTTACTCTTAAGCTACCTTCTAAAATTGAAAAATCAAATATATTTTTTTCTATTTTTAAAAGGATAAATATAAATTATACTACACCATTTAAATATAATAATAATTAAAAAATACAATCTATACGTATTGGCACAATTATTAACAACTTTCTTAATATAAATATGGATACAATTTAAAAAATGGATGGTATAATTAAATATATTAAGGTAATATTATGTGGTTAAAGAAATATTGTTTTGATATTAAAAAACTAAAAATAAAATAGACAGAATACAAAAATTGAAGTTTATGACGTAAATATAAATTAAACCAAAATAGTAAGTAAGAAAAAAAAATATAATCTTCTCTGAATGAGGATCTGTCTCTTTCCTCCTCAATTTATTAATTATTAGTTTCAATAATTATTTTTTTAAAATATTTTTAAAGTGAGAACTTTATATTGCTCTCTCCTAAACTTCCATCTGCCCAGTGCCCACAATGATTCATTACTATCTATGCAAACATAATTTCAATGCAAAATTCATTTGAACGGAACAATTCTTATTCGTTGTCAATTTTTTTTTAAAGAATACAACAATAATCTTTTTGTGTGTTTTCTTAAATTATTTACTCATTCTTTTATCTTTTGTATATTATGTAATAAGGAAGAATGAACCAAAATTAAAGAATTGAAATTTGAGAAAGAAATTGAATACTGTATACTACCATGAAATTATTGAAAAATGTGGGATAAAGAATCACATGACCAATAAAAAAAAAAATAAGAACAACAGCAATCAAAAAGTCATATTAAGATAAATAAGAAAACTAATATTAAAATATAAATCAAACCAACATTAACTAAATATTAAATCAAACTTGAAAATAACATTAACTAAATATTAAAACACGAAGGTATCATGAATATATAACTTAAAAGTAATCTACATAAAAATATTAAAATAATCTGAAAAAATAAAAGTCGAAGATAATACGAATACATAATTTTGTTACTCTGCCTCTTAATCGATTAAATATGTTTCTGAATTCTCAAATATTGTTTTGACATGGTTCAGTTTTCACTCATGAAGATAAGAAAAATCTTCATTAATATTTTGGAAATGAGCTTTAGGTCATAGAAAAAAAAGACATAATCTTTCATTTTATAGATTTATTAGGGCACCTATACGTGGATAGATGTCTCTCTTCATCAAACAGTTACTTTTCATCGGATTAACTTCTCTCAATACACCTTTTCACTCGAACAGTTACAACTCTTTTGGATTAAATTCCTTGTTTCATCGAATGGCCACAATTTTTTTGGATTTGTTATCTCAACAGACACTTTAACTTGAACAGTCGTAGAAATTTGAAGGGCAAAATAGGTATGTATTTAAAAGTTGGGGGCAAAATGAGGAGGTAAAGATTCATAGTCTCGTTTAGATACAGTATAGATACATATACAGATATAGGTTAAAGACGTCGGTGTTTCTACGAAATCCCGATCAAATTTTGAAAAAGAAAAAAAAAGTTTTTAAAAATTTATTTTTGAAATCTAGTCAATAATTTAAATGTGTTTCTAAAAGAAGGTACAATAATAAATGTTGGGAAATCTAAGTATAATTTTTCAAAATAGAAAATAAAAAATGAATACTTATAATATTAGCGTGTACACACCCCTTGTAGTTGGATCATGCTGGCACGTTCGTACAAATTATTTTATTTTTTGGTTTAAAATAACTACCACAGGAATTAATTATATGTATATATATATAAAAGATTGATGAATTAATTTTTTATGTTGAGGGTAAAAATTACGCTACGGAGCGTAGGGTAACACATGGTAGTAGAGACCAACCCCACTATGGACATACGATCAACTGAGGGAGGGACGACAATACCGTGCGAACAGTTACGAAACACACCTCGCTGCGGTGGGTCTAGATGATAGGCGATGGAGGACGATACCACGCGTCCAGAATGTCCCCTAACAACCTGCCAGTGTCCGTATGCAAATGGGACTAACCACGGTCCAAGTCAAATGTTCTCCATGGTCGGCCCTGTCATCTATAAAAAGGGATAAAATTTCACCTCACAAGGTAAGTAAAAAATCTATCACTCTAGACATGAGATGCTCTCTATTATCCTCCTTTATCCCCCGACTTACTAACTTGACTATCAGAAGATCATAGGCGAGCATCACAGTAGTGTCGAGGTCTATTGTTGCAGGTTGATTTATTCATCGGCGTAATCGAAAAGACGCGTGGACCAACCATCACATTTTATATAAATTATAAATTATTTTAAAAGTTTTCAAAATTCTCTTCTCCAACGGTCACAAAAGATTTACCATATTTTGATGGATGATTTGAGAAAGCTCAAACTCCACCAACCTTCTTTTATAATTCAAAAGTTATGGAAAGCTCTCAAATGCATGTGAAAGAGTCACTTTAGTTGGTCACATTTTCATGGATTCGTTCAGCCAATTCTTGTCTCTTCATTCTTCTTTCCCACCTACTATCTTTTGTCCCTTTCAGATTCTAATCAAATCAAATCAAATTAAATTTACATTATATTTTATTTTTCTATTTTTTCTACTCCAATTCTTTTATTTTATTCCCTTAAATTTTAAACTTCCTATTTAGTCTCTAAAACATGTCAAAATAGTGAAGTGGGGTGGAGATCCGGACTCATAAACTCTTGGTCAAAGACACACGACATTTACAGTTGAACTAAACTCATGTTAGCAAGAAGTTTAAAGATTTATTGTTGGTAAAATTTGAGCACTCTAAATCCGGATGTTATGAGAAAAAAAAAAGTATAAGTTTGAGAAGGAAGTTTAAAATGTGGATGTACATATTCTTTATAATACTATGAAAATGTAACCGAATCTATTAACATATGAAAATRCTATAGAAATATGACGTGTCAATGAAAATTTAATACTCTATTTACCAATTAAAATTGGATTTTAATTTAAGCATTCAACGAGAAACTATATTTGAATTCAAAAATCAAAATGTAATAAGAGAGAGAACAAGAAACAAAAACTATCAGAGTTTTCCCAAATTCAGCTCTTTACGCCAACCCAATCAATTTGAGTATCCTCAAGTTCTTCAAAAGTTCACTCCAATTTAATTAACCATAAACTTAGATCATTTTCAAGAAAAAAAAAGGTTAAATATAAATAAATAAAACCGTAAACTTCGATCTCTGTCCGTATTTATTGCCTCCTTTTGAAGAAATTATATAATTGAAACTTTTTCTTCTTTACATTATATTATTATTTGCTTCTGTTCCCGAGGGAATAATGACGTTAAACTCTTCCTTTTGAAAAACAAATCATAACGTTAAAAAAGAGACCATTTCTTAAGAAAAAAATCCACTGTGATCTTTTTATAAAATTGTTCTGCAACAATTTCTCATCTCTGTACACAATCGCCATGGCAGAGCCCAAACCATGGCCAATTTCCCTCTTCTTCTTCCTTTTCTTCTCTGCATTTGCAGCGGCGGTTCCCGACCACCCTCCGCCGTCGACCTCCCAATTCCCCTTCCCGGAAACCGCCTCCACGGTGGTTCCCGACCCGGCCAATTTCTTCTCCCCCTCACTCCTCTCCTCCCCACTTCCCACCAATTCCTTCTTCCAAAACTTTGTCCTCTCCAATGGCGACCTGCCGGAATACATTCACCCGTATCTCATCAGAATCGCAAATTCCTCGCTCTCTGTTTCTTACCCATCTCGTTCTTCCAATTCCTCAATCACCCAATTGCCCTTCGTCCCCGATCTCACCATTGATTCCTTCAACAGAACCCATTTCGTTTCTTCCTTCAGCGATCTTGCCGTTGATTTGGACATCGGCGATTTCAGATTCCATCTCGTTCGTGGGAGTCCTTATTTGACTTTCTCTGTTCTCGAAACCTCCTCTGTTTCCATTTCCACTGGCCATGGCGTCCGTTCTGTTGATTCTTACGATTTTTCCACCAAACACATCGTTCGGCTGAGCAACGGCCGGAACTGGGTACTTTACTCCACGGCGGCGATTGATCTAATTAAGTCTAGTACTTATCGGATCGTCACTTCCGGCGGATTCTCCGGCGTGATCCGAGTTGCTGTTCTGCCGGATTCAGAGGGGGAGTCGGAGAAAATTCTTGATCGGTACAGGGGATGCTACCCTGTTTCTGGGTTTGCGAAATTGTCGGAGAAATTTGGAGTTCAATACAAATGGCAGAAGAGGGGTAGTGGAGATCTCCTCATGCTGGCTCACCCATTGCACCGCCGACTCTTGCCTGAAAATCAAACGGTTCTCCAAAATCTCCGGTACGGCAGCATAGACGGCGACCTTGTGGGCGTCGTCGGAGGAGGCTCGTGGGATTTGAATTTCGATCCTATTCCGGTGACTTGGCACTCAATCAACGGAATCAATAAGCAATTCTTCCCGGAGATCGCCGCCGCGCTTCGCCGGGACGTGAAGGCTCTGAACACGACAGAGCTTTCCTCCACGGCGTCGTCTTATTTCTACGGGAAGTTGATTGCGAGAGCGGCGAGATTAGCGCTGATCGCCGAGGAGGTGGATTTCGCCGGCGACGTGGTTCCGGCGGTGGCGAAGTTCTTGAGAAACGGGATTCAGCCGTGGCTGGACGGGAAATTTGGGCGAAACGGGTTCCGGTATGAACGGAAATGGGCCGGATTGGTGACGGAAAACGGCGCTTCGAGCACGACGGAGGATTTCGGATTCGGAGTTTACAACGACCACCATTTTCATTTGGGCTATTTCGTTTACTCAATCGCCGTTCTTGCAAAAATTGACCCAAATTGGGGGGAAAAATACAAGCCCCACGCGTACGCTTTGGTCTCCGATTACATGAATTTCAGACCCAAAAAATTCCCATTCTCAATTCCGTTTAGAAATTTCGATTTCTGGAAGCTCCATTCCTGGGCCGCTGGATTGCACCCATTTCCCGACGGCCGGAATCAGGAGAGCACCAGCGAGGCCGTGAACGCATATTACGCGGCGGCGCTGCTGGGTCTGGCGTACGGCGACGAGTCCTTCGCTGCCGCCGGGACGGCGCTGGCGACGGCGGAGATTCTCGCGGCGCAGACGTGGTGGCACGTGAGGAGAGACAGCGGGATTTACGAGAGGGGATTTGTGGAGGAAAACAGAGTGGTGGGGATTTTGTGGAGCGGCGCGAGGGAGAGCCGGCTGTGGTTTGCGCCAGCGGAGTGGAGGGAGTGCCGGCTGGGGATTCAGGTGCTGCCGGTGCTGCCGGTGACGGAGCGGCTGTTTTCCGACGAGGAGTATGTGAGGGAGGCGGTGGAGTGGGCGGCGGCGGCGGTGGAGCGGGAGGACGCCGGGGAAGGGTGGAAGGGATTTGCGTACGCGTTGGAAGGGATTTATGATAAGAAAAATGGAGTTGAGAAAATTAAGAAGTTGAAGAATCATGATGATGGGAATTCTCTCAGTAATCTTCTGTGGTGGATTTACAGCCGGCCGAACGGAAGTTCTTGAAGAACAGAGATTTTGATATTTTTGATTGTGATGTTTTCCACGTTTTTCAGGTGTAGATTTATCTTTTTGTGAGTGATTTATTCTTTAGAATTCTTTCAAGGTTTATTAATCAATATACATACTCATATGGGTTTCACAATTATGTACTATTTCTCGTTTTGAATACCCATTTCCTTTAACAATATTTTCTTTATCAACAATAATTAGAAATACAAATAAAATATTCTAGCTACTGATTCGTCCATCGAGTCAACTCACCATCATCAAGTTGGGGGAAGTCGAAACGATGACGATGGCAGACTCGACCGCTGTGAAATAAAACACCTCCTCACCTGTCAAGTGTTAACTGATTCTAGTTGGACACCAAATTGTAACAAATTTTACAGTACAACGATACCTTACTTTAACTAAAGTACATAGTCTAAATGTATTTTTATATATATTCTTCTTTTTTTTTTTTAAGTTGTATGGTTAATGGTAGTCATTAACTTAAACAAAAATGTACGTTTGTGCAGCAATACACGAAATATCCGTCGACATATCGATATTATCACGTATCTTTTTCGAAAAATATTCATCGACATTGATAACCTAACGACATTTCCATAAAATTAAGACATCTATACTTTCATGACATTTATTAGGGGTGATCAAACCAAGTCGAAAAACCGATCCGACCAACTAAAACCGACCGAACCGACGTCGGTCGGTCGGTTTAAGGGATGAGTCGGTCGATGTCGGTTTTTCACCGTAAAAAATCGATTAGTCGGTCGATCGGCTCTTCCAATATCAAAGAAACCGACTAGGTCGATGCTCAATCCTAATAGGTATATATCTATGTGTAATAATTGTATTTGTTGTTTCTGAATACAATGTATAATAGTATTCAATTTGGATTTTTTATAAAAACTATATCCTAGGCTAAAAAGTGGGAAAGAGATAAAAAAAATCTTAACCACTGAGAGTTGAGAGATCGAAGAATGGCATCGTCAAGTTGTTCTTCCGAAGTTTCAAACCGGCCCCAGCTTCCATGGAAGTATCGGGTGATGCTCCGATTTGCTCCTCTGTTCTTCCACATTGCTTTCCGATCGGATTCCACCGTCAATCGCCGGCTTCTCCAATTTGTTGACCGGAAAGCCCCCGCCTCCTCCGAGCCACTCGACGGCATTTCCTCTTCCGATCTCACCATCGATACTTCTCGAAGCCTGTGGATCCGAATCTACACCCCCACTGCTCACGGCGGCGATTCTCCCAAGCTGCCGGTTGTTCTGTTCTTCCACGGCGGAGGATTCGCCCTCTTTCACGCCGATACACTTGCCTGCGACGTTGCCGCTCGCCGGTACGCCGGAGAGTTACGCGCCGTCGTAATCTCCGTCAACTACCGCCTCGCTCCGGAGTTCCGATTTCCGTCTCCGTACGACGACGGATTCGACGCTTTGAAATTTCTGGACGAAATCGACGACGGCGTGCTGCCGGCGGCGGCCGATCTGGGCCGTTGCTTCATCCTCGGCGAGAGCGCCGGCGGGAATCTGGGGCACCACGTGGCGGTGAGGGCGAGCGAGTACGCGTCCAAGAAGGTGACGGTTGCCGGATTTGTGGCCGTGCAGCCGTTTTTCGGCGGAGAGGAGAGAACAAAGTCGGAGATCCGGCTGTGTAATCAGCCTCCATTCACTCGGGAAATGGCGGATTGGTTTTGGAAGGCGTTTTTGCCGGTCGGGTCGGACCGGGACCACGCGGCGGCGAACGTGTTCGGACCCAAGGGAGAGGACATTTCCAGGAGGAAGTTTCCGGCGACGCTGATTTTGGTCGGAGGATTTGATCTGTTATGTGATCGACAGAGGATGTATGAGGAGTGGCTGAAGAGATCGGGAAAGAAAGTAGAGCTTGTGGAGTTTTCAAATGCAATTCATGGATTCTCCGGCCTCCCGGACCTGCCGGAATATTCTTCCATGATTAGAGAGATGAAGAATTTCATGGAAAGGGCTCCAAAATTTTAGCTATTTTGGCTTAAAGTTAAAAAGTTTCTTTTCTAATACTCAATTATCCTTTGTTTGGGAAATTGACTCTTCAAAGTTTTTTAAATGCTCAAGTTTTTTAAATGCTCAAATGATCCACCAATGCAATGTGTCCAAATGACCTACTTTAGGAATTAATGATGTATTAGAGGTGATGAAATTACCAAAATGGTCTTAATTATAAGACATGATCGTTGACAAAACCTCGATTGGGGTCATTTTAATTCTCCCTCGGGAATGATTTAATTCACAACAACCATTGCCCTTAATTTTGATGCTTTCGATTTCTTCTTAAGATTGAACTACATTTGAAAAGCAATTTTGCTGTTTTGTTTGCTTTGATTTAATTTAGTTTTGTCGGCATTGATTCTGTAAAGGTTGACTATGAACCTCGAGCGGGAGTTATGGTTTCCCGACCGAGTTTCATAAGAAACGATGAGCCTCGGGCTGGGTTTTGTAAGTTTCGCCCGAGGTCAACAGTTGGTGATAGAAAAAGTTGACGCAACCTCGACATTTCTAAGCCTCTGTCATTTTTCTCGGGTTCGACCTCGGGCGAGATTGAGCCCGAGGTAATTGAAAAAGGCTCAGCCTCGAGTGAGGTTTCTCAAGGTTGATCCTCTTTCAATTATCTCGGACTCAACCTCGCCCGATGTCGAACCCGAAAAAAAATGACAGAGGCTTACCAAACCTTGAGCGACATTTCAAATCTCTTCAACCTCGCTTGAGGTCCATCCCACTTCGCTCGAAATACTTCTTTGTCTTCAACCTCCCACCACACCACTTCAAATGTTTCAAATCAAACTCCCGCAGCCACAGACCTTAATTCCAACATAAAYGAAAAATCGAAGAAAAAAYAGGAAACGAAACAAAGAAGAACATCGGAAAACAAAATCAACGGGAAAAAACCTAAATCGATGCAATGTTATACATGTATTCGTTCATCTAAACATCGAAAAACTGAATCGACACAAATAAACAACCATTCAACTCCTCAACACACATAAAATCAAAGTCAGTCGCCAAGAGAAACGAAAATGAAGAAGAAATTCGAAGGGACTGCAAAGAAAAACCGAGATGACGAACTTAGGCTGAAAACGGCGAGGAAGGGGTAAAGGTAGCTCGAACAGTTTGGGTTTTTGAACAAAAGGTAGTAATGTAATTTCGCTAACTTTTAAGATTAATTAAATATTCAAGTGGGTCATTTGGGCACATTTTGGAGAAATTGACCCAAATGACCCCAATTGTTTTTTAAATGCTCAAATGACCCACCTATGTAAAGTGTATGATACACTTTAATATTTAATTAAATTTAAATGGAAGTGAAATTACAGCCGTATCCCTCCATCCAAAAAAGAAATCTCTCTTTCTCTTCCTTTTTTYCCCTTCGGTTGTCTTCTTCGTTCCTCTTCTTCTCTTCAATCTTTCTTCTTCATTTTATTTAGTCTCATTAAAATTAAAATGGACATAAATATCAAACTTGACTTCCACCGAGATTGAATAAATCTAGTCCCTTCATTTTTTTCTTTTTATTTGGATTCGTTAAAATTAAATGATAATAAATCTTGAGCATGAATCTCGTCCGAGATCGCATAAATCTCGGTTGAGATTCATGCAATTTCACCAAGTTTGCTTGAATCTCTCGATTTTTTTATTTGGTCTTTTGAAATTAAATGATCATAAATCTCAAGCTTTAATATCGGGCAAGATTGGATTCAAAAATCGAGTAAGCTTTGTTGGAGGCTTTAGAATTCTGTGACACAAGTTGGGCAAAACTCGCTCGAGTTTGGAGATAACTCGCCCGAAACAATGGGTACACGAGTGAGTTTCCATGAGTGGAATTGTTTTTAGGCCGAGATTAAAATTTAATATAAATAATAATATTTGATTCCTTCTGTAAAAAGTTGTATGTTGCTCGTTGGCTTTGACTATGGTGGAGACTAAAACACAGAGACACATACCACCGAGCCTAACATTGTTTTTCTACCACATTTAGAAATTAAACTATATAGTGTAAATTATAAATTCGCCCGAGAATTCCAAAAACTCGCTCCTGAACTAATAGTTTCGACCAAATTTCATAAAACTCGGGCGAGTTATCCACGAACTCACCCAAGTTCGGGCCAGGATTTTTTCTTCAAACTTGAGATTTTTCATCAAGGACAGTTTCGTACTTTCACACTCACTGATAGGTAGATTATTTGAGCAAAAATAAAACTTTTAAATGTCATTTGGATCAATTTCCCCACATTTTAAGGGGTGGGTCATTTGATTTGAGGCAATTTCCCCCTTTATTTCTTCTCTATCTCTAGAAATTAAAATGCAGGGTCATTTTTGTAACAAAGTTTTTCTTTTTAGAATTTTGGGTGTACTGTGTTTCTTGCCTGTATACTTTGAAATTACGTTTCAACCCATTAGTTCTCACTTCTCTTCATTTCTTCTTTTAACCTCTGAAAAAAAAAAATCAACTTTTTCACCCCTCTTCATTTCTTCGTTAGCTTCTACAAAGACTAGAAATTAGTTCTAACATCGATATAGTCGGTGGCAATCCAAAAACTTTGTCGGGGGACTTCGTATACTAATTTACAAATAAGTCATTCGCTCGTTCCCTCTTAAATTTATCCTAATCAAACATTGTTGTTTTATTTAATTATACGTACTATATTATGTAAAATTATACAAAATCATCACTTGTTAGCCCAATAAACACCGTCACATCAACATTTAAACAATATTGGAGAGAACAATTTAACTGTTAGAATAAAAAACCAAAAGTTTAGGTTTTTCGATTTTTGTTTTTAGTTTTTTAAAAACAGGATTGCTTGATATTCAATTTTCTATTTTTTGTTTTTCAAAAACCATTTTCAAATTCTATGTAAATTAAAAAAAAAGGTAGTTTTCAAAGATCAGATTTTTGTTTTTCAAAATCTCATTTCTTCTTCTAATATTCAACTTTTTTTTCTTTCTTATATTTATCCCTAAAAAATTTATTTTTTACTCTAATTTTTTATTTCTAAATTTCTCTCTACAAAATGTATTTTTTCTCTCTTTAAAATTTTCATATTTTGAATATTTATTGTTATTTGTCTCTCTTCAACATTTTCTGTATTTTTGTTTTTTTTTCTAACAAGTCAGTTTCATTTCTCTCGCTAAAAAATTAATATTTTTTCTAATTTTTCTCTCTCGAAAATTTAATATTTTATTTTTCTGTCTCTAGTAATCTTTTTTTTTCTAAAAATTATATTTTATTTTCTCGTTCAATTTTCTTTCACTGTAACTTTTATTTATCTTTGTTTTTATTTATTTTATATAAAAATTATATTTTGAATATTGTTTTTATCTCTAAATTTGTTTCCACTGTAATTTTCTCTTTCTTTATAATTTTTTTTTAACATATCTTTTCCTCTCAACTTTATTTTTTTCTCCAAAATTTTTCTCTTTTTTGTCTTTAATTTTTCCCAACCTATTTTTTTTCTAAATATTTTTATTTATCTCTCTAAAATTTATCTTCCAAAAGTTTATTTACATCTCTATTTCATGTTTCTACATCAGGGGAAGACAAACATTTCCGCAGGATTTGGTCCAAAAAATAGAAAATGCATGTTCCGACCCCATCCCTATCCCCGATTTCATTTTTTAAATAATTAATATATTTTTATTACACTTTTTTATATTTAAATTATAAAAATAATTAAAAACAATTATAAAATCGATAATTTTTCTCGAGAACATCTCTCGGATCCAAGAACGAGGTGGAGACGGAGACTAAAAATTTTCACGAGCCCGATAATGGGGGAGAACATCCTCACTCGCACTCACACCATCTCTACTCTATATAAAATTTTGTCTCTAATATGTATTTTCAATTTTCTAACTTTTTAAAAACAAAAAACTAAAAATTGTTACCAAATATATTTTGGTTTTTTATTTTTTAAAAACAAGAAACAAAAAATGTTTATCAAGAATTTTGTTTTTTAAAAACAGAAAACCAAAAATCAAAACTTAAAATATATTAATTTTTAAGGTTAAATAGATTCAAATAGAAGAAAATACCTTCCATTTTTTTTCCTTAAATAGGAACGAAGTTAGAAAAAAAAATTATTCACCGCACTTAATTCTTGAAGTTTTTGAATTGTTGTTACATATGATTTACAAATTACAAAGTTAGAATGCATATTTTGTCTTTGATATTTTAAAAATTGTATCTATTGAATCAACAATTCCAGCGGTGGCGAAGTTCTTGAGGAACGGGATTCGGCCGTGGCTGAACGGGAAATTTGGTAAAAACGGGTTTCTGTATGAACGGAAAGGGGCCGGATTGGTGATGGAAAACGGCGCTTCGAGCACGACGGAGGATTTCGGATTCAGTGCTGCCGGTGGTGCCCCGGTGACGGAGCGGCTGTTTACCGACCAGGGGTAGAAAGGGGATTTACAGCCGGCCAGGACAGAGTTGGTAGAAAGGGGATTTTGATTTTTGATTGCCATGTTTTCCACGGGTTTCACGTGTAGATTTTATTATTTTTTTTCAAATTCTTTTAAGATTTATTAATCAATATACCTATTTCAATTTGACAAATATGAAACAACGAGTTTTTCAATTGTGAGGAGAGCTCTTGGAAGTGAGAGATGGAACTCTTGTTGACATAGTTGGCTTCTTTGTTTTGGCCCACAACAGCCTGATATTTTATTCTGAAAAAAAAAAATTCAATTTACTCAAATGACCTACCATTTGACTTCATCTAAAATTCATTCTAAATTATTGTGTGAATCCGCAATTTCATAATTTGGACAAAGTTTCTACGAACTTGCCCGAGTTTCCCATGATTCTCGGACAAATTTTTTTGAACTTAGCTTGAGTTTTACATGAATCTAGGATGTGTTCCCTTTAAATTCGCCTGAGTTTTGGGTAAATTTGCATGAGTCTTAAGTGAGATTTATGCAATCTCGGGTGAGATTCAAGTTCGATGTTAATGGTCATATCCCAAATAAATTTTTAAAAAAATCAAGGGACCAAGATTTATGCAATAAATAAATAATACTGTACCAGGAAGTCGTATTATTAGTTATGTTTTAAATATTATTATTTATGTACTATTTT